ACACTACATTGTTTCACAGAATTTGCAACAGCTGTAAGTCTTAGGGAACAGGTATCTGAACACTGCTCTTACATTTAAATACACACACACACACTCAATATATACGTGTACATAGAAGACTAACCTGTCAGTTTTAAACTCATACTATGATTTTAATTTTTTAACATGCAGAAACGAGACTGAACAAAAATAATTCTATTACCAAGCTTCAATACAGAGTATTAAAGTTCTTAGACACTGAAATTTTACCTATCTTCAATATACATGTCATAATAAAATCCGTTCTCAATTGGTGGTCCATAGCATAAGCAGCCCCCAAAATAACCTTCCATGGCTTCTCCAAGAATATGAGCACTTGAATGCCAATAAACCTGCAAATAAAGTCAGGTGAGCAAGTCATGGGGTCATTGGCATTGTGTAACTAAAAAAGAAAAAAGAAGACAGAGGTATATCTGCAGATGGGGATACACTGGAATCAGAGTTGTTTAAATTTTATGAGAAGTTCCTGTTCTCATTTGGAGGTATGCTACATCATTACTATAATGGCAATAAGTGTAGCAATAAATCCCCATTGTATTTCAGCCTGAAAGATGATCATACCTCTGCATGATTCCATCACCTTAGTACTTATTGTATCTTGTTCATCTATGTTAGTTTCCAGTCAGTTGTCTATGCAATACTAACTGCACCTAAAGCAATGTAGCCAATTAAGTTACCACTTAAGACTGTAAACCACATTACCTTAAATGTCAGAGGAGAGGAGTCAACAACCCAGTAAATCAATACCAGTTTTATCTTATAAGTACCTATTAATTCAGACCACTTCATAGACACTGCTACAAGATAAAGCCTTTACAGGTTCCCAAAATGCCTCAAACAACCTTAATCACATTAATAATTTTTTAACAATATGAAGTCCAATTCAACTGCATAAAGATAAACACAGACTTAAGACTGAATCGCATTAAAAAAAAATTTCTTGGTTGTGTCACCAAGTATATTCATAGTTTAATTGACTAAGACATACCTACTTAAGTTTCTAATAAACAGTGCCAGTACAAAGAGGTGTAGCTTTTATTTATGACTCCAATGTGATATTGGACAATTTTCAGAAACCCGTAAGACAGCCTTATTGTTCCTTTCAGTGACTGACCAAACAAACTGAGTCAAACCACAGAAAGCATGTCTTAGAAGATATCAGAATATTTCAGGTTAACATACAAATGAGGACATTCTGTATGATCTTGTTTGAGAAAGAACCTGTTTATGTAAAAGTGAAGGGAAGAAAAGAACACTAGGATTTTATTCACCTACAGATTATAGGTACTTAGCATCTAATCTTTGTTAAATCATGACACATTACTTGAGTAGTTTGGGGGATTTTTTTAAGTTCAAGATGTAAAAAGTATAATGCTGCAATCAATTTAATGTTTTTAGTTCCTTTAATCAAGTAGAAACTAGTGTTTACTCACAGCTTTTGCTTCTTCATTATCAAACATAAGCAGCTCCAGAGCACAGTCTCCCTCCAGTGGACGATCCAGGTCCCACAATTCACCATTCACTTTGGCTATGACTGCATTTGAAGCCAACACTTGACTAAAAAAACACAAATGATGACAAGACACCAAAATATTCAGGCTCAGATTTGCAAAAGTGCCTAGGTTTCTAAATCCCGTGAGACACCCACCCACATCTCATAGCACCTAAAGACCTTTAATTTTTGTTTCTTTGGCCATCGTAAACACTTTTCTACTTTTAAGGTATAGACCCTTAAGTTCTTCAAGTCTCATTCAACAGTTTTCAGTGCTGGGGATCTGGAGGAAAGACTGCTTCTAACAACAGTTTCTCGTGTTAATCTAGAAACTCACAAAACTTCAGACGCCTCTCTTAATTCCTAGCACTCCCACTGATAGCTGTATTTTTTAATTGGAAGCAAGCATTATGATCCCAGCACAGAACCTCAAGCACCACTCAGAACAGTAACTTCACCCAGCTGTTTGTTCTGCATTTTAGAGATCTGATTTTAGAGAATCCCCATCCACTGACTGACATACATATTTTATTCATCAAGGTAAGAGACAGATGATAGTAACAGATGCATCACTGTGAAAGTAAAACTCCTTGAATCTGCAGGTTACCTAATTCCTACAGCTAACTGATATGGTGTGGTTTTCCAAGATTCCCCTTCAGCCATCTTTCCATCTGTCAGAATAATTTTGATAGGTTTGCTCTGGTTGGCTGCTCTGTAAGCTAGCAAAGCGTCATGTTCTTTTTTCAGTGCTTCATAAAGCTTCAGTCTGTCTTCTATGAAGCTTGGCTCACGCTGTAGCTGTAACAAATAAATCGTACATATACATATTTGTGAGAGAAACAGAATAAAAGGATTCGCAGTGTTCATCCATCCCTAGTGGTTCCAAGACCAGATTTCACTGTACTAGAATTTATACTAATAAGCAGTAAAGCATTTGTAAATAATTATACACGGGATAGTCCCATCTATCTTGCTGCCTTTCCAGTTTTCCAATGCACCTTCATCAATCTAGACCTAAATGGCTTTATGTGTTTGACATCAGAATGCAGCCTACATTCCTGCCTCAGACTTTGTATTTGGCTGACATCCTAGAGAACTCTGGATAATTCCAACAAGCTTCCGCCAGTCCACTCAAAGCAACAGATTAAAATAAAATAGTTCACAGGAAGTTTCTTTTAGTTTGGCATAAGGTGACTTATTAATATCTATTGCACTACAGCCAGTGCTGCCAACATCCTCTTCCAGTCATCATGCACACTGTTTAACTATTCATGAACCATCGCTCTCTTCAGGAATCACAGTATCTTGACATTTTCCAAAAGTCCAAATCCTTCTGTTATTTAAAAAGTAGAGATCTAAGAATGCATAAGTAACCCTACTAATTACATGCAAGGGGAAGCTCTAAATGTTTTTTTCTATATGCATGCTATTACAAGTCTTCTTCTCAAAACCTTGGATTTCAAAATACAGCAAAGTATTTCAGATTTCAGCATGTTTTCTGAACCTAACCAAGTAATACTTCCCCTTCTATTATTACGTGGTATGAAACAATGCCTTACATCATTCCGATGTCGGTTCACAGCTTCATTTTCTTTTTTCTTTTCCTCTGTATTTTGATTCACTGCAACAGTTGGACTTGCACTAGAGACTTTCTGAAACAGTGATAATATGAAGTACACCCCTATGCCTTTAAGACTTTTCCCAGCAATCACCGAAACAAAACAAACTACAACAATGCAATACTGGGCTAAAAAGGGAATTACAGTCGAATAAAAGTATGTTCTTGGTACAGAGGAAGACCTTCTCATGACACATCTAGGCAGTGTCCTTCTGATGTTCAGCAAGCGCTGCACAACTGCTCACCAAGCTAAATCTCAACGCGGTTTCCCCAATTTTTCTACTGCAACCGTCACCGGCAGGATCTCCCAGCGAGCTACTGCGAGATTAAAACTGCCTGGGGAGCAATAAAACCAACTTTGGGGGCTGATGAAGTGACTCCACCTTTATGCGAAGGCAGGGACTGCCGGGAGCGGCACCGCTCCGAGCTGCGGCTGCTCGAGGGGCGCGGGCAGCACCTATTGTCCTTTCTCTCTGA